TTTTCTGCTTTTCGAATAGTGATTTATAGCGTAACTTCTGTTAGCGTGTGTCGATTTTTTTATTTGTGCATGAGCCCACGAGAAAGTGAGAAACTACAGTTAACTACTTGGAGTACTTTAGTTAAATATCGTGGTTAAATATGTAAACATAATATACCATATTTTCAAATATACAGTACTGTGCTACAGCAACTGTCCAGTCACGCATATGTGATAAAAAGCCGATATAAATTTTATAAACAAAAGATAATGTAAAACGTAACAGAACGGCGAACATGCAGATTCGGTTATCTCAAATAATGGTAATGTTGGGATAGTAGCGTTGCAGACTGCAGAGGAGAGTGGGCAGTAAGGCTCCATGGAAAACCTGCACCCCTCCTTGCAGACGAGGCTATATCTTCCCCTGAACATCCCCTCCAGGCTTTTAGCCAGTCCTGGGACGCCCCTAGAACAAAAAATGGACGCCTTTGGACGCCCAAATTCAGGGGGAAAAGGGAAGTTATTTTCAGTTATTTTTCACCCTGCTCGGTTTCCTTTGTTCTTGTCGGAGAATATATTCAATATTCCCCTCTAATCAATTTCCGTTTAATAATCCCCTCTAATATTCACCTGCAATTAATAATCCCCTCTAATATTCACCTGCAATGTCTTTGCAGCACAAAAAATGAGAAAAAACAACATTGCGAAGGCAATATGGCATTAAGAATTATTTCTTTTCTGACTCATTAATGCGACCTCGCAGTGTGAAAAATAAGTACGTTATTTTGAGGCACCTCGGGGATATGTGTTTATTCACCTCGGCGCTGCGCGCCTCGGTGAATAAATCACATATCCCCTCGTTGCCTCAAAATAACCTATACTTATTTCCCTATGTATATTAATATATCTGAAACGAAATAGCTTCAATTCTCATTATTATTATACATTTAACATTTTGATAAATTTGATGGTGTACAGTAACTGGCTGAATGAAAATGTTGTAGTTAACTAAAGAAGCATAGCGGCACAAACCCACAAAGCCAAGTGTGTTTGAAAAATTTCGAACGAGCTTGGAACAGATACTGACATGAAGTAACGTAAACTTCAAAGGTTTTCCAGAGGAACGTTCTCTCGACCCCCTTTACTGTAGATGTATCGTTGTACCAAAATTGGACGCCCTCTTTTAGGACCCTAGCTAAAAGCCTGATCCCCCTAGCGACGGACCTGGTTCACACTTTGTGGAAATATGATGACAGCTTTGACTTGGATCAAGGCCGGATTTTGGTCGGAATATTGGGGGAAGTTGAAAAAAATTTAGGAGGTGCAGCAGTCTTGCTCACGACCCCCATGAAAAGTTAGGGCTTAGAACGACCAAAGTCAACGACGTGGCTTAAGCATAACATATGTATCAGTATATTAATGAATCATGACTGTACAACTCATCCAAATTTGCCGTTCATTACAATTACTACAAAGTTTCTTTCAAAACATTGCATTAAAAGGGTACTTGATACAGAGATGAATGACTATCACTGTTTCAATTTTACAGAAAAACTTTGTTGACCCTAAGTGTAGACCCTAAAGCAAAAAATGTCAAATTTTCACTTTGATTTATCATTGAAATTTCCCTAAGGGGAAGTGCATGACTTTTCAGAGGAGGTGCAAAAATTCTCAGGTTAGGTGCAAAACGATCTCAGGGGAGGACTGCGCACCTCCTCACACCTCACCTCAAAATCCAGCCTTGATTTGCATTATACACAACTTCAAACTTATTCCTTTAAAACGTTCTTTTTCAGCTTTCATTTTTAGATTTAATGGATTCTCACTTTTGTACCTGTGTTGTTTCTTTTGTATTCCGCTACTGCCCAGTCCATCCGTCAGGAACTGTCGAGGTAAGGAAGATGTCCTTATTTCAAAGAAATTTTGTGGGATACAAATATCATACATTCCTCTATTAAGGCATTTATAAGTTAAAGCTAACATATGCTTTCGGGAAGAGTTGCCAAGTTCAGATGATTAAAACCTATAGAGGTTATTAGCAGAGGGAGCCAGTATAATGGGATCAATATTTATGAAACATCTCACTTGAGAAAATGTTCTCGAGTGAGTATTTTATAATTTCCAGACCGCGCCCAAGCACAAACAAAACTCTGCCCATCGCAGCTGAGTTTCGAACCCGCGACCTTCGAATTACTACTGTAGATCGATATTCTACCAACTGCGCACACGGTCAGCACGGATTTAAGACTGGAAATTAGTAACTGTATACTGTTTGTCATAAACTTATACTAGTGTATTAATTGAGTCAGTATGGAACAATACTAGTTCTAACACTCGCAGAATTAGTATAATTGTTTAAATTTCTCACCAAATACTGTATCATAATTTATTTTAATTTCAAATTGTTGTAGCGTACGAATGTTCTCATCAAAATATTTCACATCCATAGTTACAGGTTATCATATGAGGTGCGAGGTGTTATTATTTTTATCGCTTGAGGGACAATATCATATACATTGTCATGAGTGCATGAGCGCAGCGAACGAGGGACATTATGACATCGTCTTGACATAGCGATAAAACTGATATCACTTCGTCCCGATTATGATAAATTATTAAATAACCTGTTTATTACATATATACTTGTGCTAGCTTTTATCAGGGTCAGAATTTACGTCGCGATATCAGTGACAAAAACCGATATGCGATATTCGAGTGACAAAAAGCGATATCAGTGATATTGTTGCGGGCATACCGCACAAGTTATTATAGTCTTCAAAATTTTAATGTTCAAAGTAAAAAACACGCTTACAAACGGCGGTTTATAAAATTAGTGATCATGCTCTCAACCATAATATCTCCGTCTCTGTTGAGTGATCACACATTACTTTATATTAGCCTGAAAACACACCTACGTTCCGCCCTTTCCGTCGACCCGCGAATTTTAGGGCGGGCGAAACGTAGGTCTGTTTTCAGGCTAACTTTATATGAGTTATATTTACATAAATTTGAAAGTTTAAATTAAAACTATCACGACAATTAATCTAATCTCTAATGCGTATTGCCTACTATAGCCCTGGGCAAACTAGGAAACATTGTTGCGGAAACATTTGTGATTCTCGATGTTTCTTCAAATGTTTCCCTGTTTGCCCACCCGTGGAAACATTGTTGCGGAAACAAAATTTGTTTCCCGGGAAGCAAAAATGTTTCTTGCAAACTTCAGAAACATTTGATGTTTCCCTATGTTTCTCACTAATATTTCCTAGTGTTTGCCCACTCTGGGAAACATGGCGAAACATTGGCAGGAAACAATGTTTCCGCAACAGTGTTTCCTAGTTTGCTCAGGACTTATGCATGCATGAACTACATAAATCCATAAGGCCTTTATTGTCCTTACCAGACATATTCCTGTCACCCTATAGTATATATGTGATAAAGGGGACGTGGAGCGAGGAGAATGTACTACTGTAATTTCAAGGCAGTTTAATTAAAGCGAGAATTATGACCCATGATACGTGAACACAAAGCACTATAATCTGTCTGATTTTATTACAGGTAATGGCACTACCATATCATTTTTAAAGGCTTTAATATTCCTATCTGGATTAGCATCAATCACGCAACTTATTTTTCAAATCATACTCGGTTCGTTGGCTCCCTATGGTCATTTCTTGGAGAGATGTAAGTGTTGCCCAAAAGTTTTGGAAGTATAGAAACTAGTGTCTACGATTCATTGTAATTTTTGTGACGGCCATAAAGTTACACGTAAAAAATGTAACTTAGTTAATTTTCCAGTTTTCTTCATGATTTTTGTAACTACAGTAGTTTAAAAAGTTACTTTACTAAGAACTTGTTTAAAGTTACATGTGCATGTTTTAATAATTACATTGACAGCGAGTTTAATTAAATTACTGTAAAGAATAGGATAACCCAACTGCAAGCCGCCAAATACGTGGAGGAGTTCTTGTTCAGTGAATCAGTTTATTGACCACATTGACATAATTTTATAGCTGTATCATAGGCGTCGAAAGATCGATAAGTGGGGGGGGGGACCATATTCATATATTCGTGTTCACAGACCTTAAAAACAATCGATTTCAAAAGAAATTAATAATGCCGAACACGAATATATGAATATGGTCCCCCCACTTATCGATCTTTCGACGCCTATAATGTATAGTATGAACAAAATAGCAAGTACTATATTTTAACGTCAAAATGTAATGAAAAAACGGTAACGTAAAATATGGTCAGAAACGTAACGCGTTAATATCGTTCTATTTTAAGCCAAAATTTTCGACCAACGAGAAAGCATGAGGATTATTGATAAACTATATAATAGTCGTACTGTTATATTGTACTCATTATTAACAATATATTTTGCAACAAATTGATTTATTTTATAGGCTCTATACTGGAAGAAGTTTTACGAGAAATTGGTTTTAACAGGTTTGTACAACAATGTATTCTTTTAACCCCGAGCCACGCGCTTGGGGCGAAGCCCGTGGCGAGGCTACTAATTCCGCTCGGCTAATTACATCCGGCGGATTGAAAAGTTCATTAATTATCGCGTTAGCATGGCTATGTTCGTGTAGTTGTATGGGTGGTCATTTCTGGAAGTAGTAAGGATTCAAAACGAATGTGAGAATTAAGCTTTTTAAATTTCAAGGCACAGACCCTACTGCAGTAAATGAAATTATGACAAAATTACAAAAAGAAAGGAGCTATATATTTACAGTAAATACATACAGTATAAACATCATGCAGTTTGGGAACGATGACAGGAGCAGTTTTTTAGCCTGCGAACAGGCTCTCAAGCTGAATTGAGAGCCTGCATCGATGACTAATGAATTTGAATATCTGCGTCTCAAATCGTGACGCGAAATTCTCATTGGTCAGATGCTATAATTTATATGTTTCCGCTGAGCTCTATATATGTCAACTGCTGAAGCACTGTGCATAAAAAACACATTAACTGGTCAAATTGGTCTTGGCCGTCTTATCTCAAAGCACGAAAAGTTCTGTTTTGAGAAAACAGTATTTAAAACATTTGAACTTTTGCTTGAATATCTTATATTTCGAAAAACAGTATAAACTGTACGGTCTAAATTTAGTTTGCACGGTCTAAATTTAGTTTGCACGAAAGTCGTAAACAACACCATATAAGGATAGACATTCCATATTTGGAAAAACGAACGTTACGGGGCAGATATTCAAATTCATTAGTCATCGATGCAGGCTCTCAATTCAGCTTGAGAGCCTGTTCGCAGGCTAGCAGTTTTTGAGAGATGAGAACCTTCGCATCTTCGGGTATCTAGACCGCCGCTCTACCCATTGACCTATCGAGTCAACGGAAGATGCGAGTTCAAATCCCGCTCGAGCCAACGAATTTTTCGTTGCTCGATTGCAGTGTCAGAATAATATGAAACTGGTTTTTCGTATCTGTGAGGATGGTTCTGAAATAGAATTGAAACAGCGTTAAGTCGTCACGAAAATATTTCGTGCACTTAAATTGGATAAGACTCGCTACCAATCCCCGTTGACTCGATAGCTCAATGTGTAGAGCGGCCGTCTAGATACCCGAAGATGCGAGTTCAAATCCCGCTCGGGCCAACGAATTTTTCGTTGCTCGATTGCAGTGTCAGAATAATATGAAAATGTATATAAGTTTTCGCTCCATAATTTTCATCTTCAACAATGAACAGCAATACATCCGCAAGTAATTTTTCACATTTTTTTCAGATTTGACAACGTTTCTGCCCTGGATATCTGCCGTCTACTGATACCAGATTACATTATTTTGGCCTTTTCAATATTCTGCTGGGTATGCACGAGAGCTTTGGGACGCGTGCGTACGAATAATGTGAACGAGGGATCGTATTGGAATAAAACCTTTATCATCAATTCAAATATCAGGAACTACGTTTTGCCCTATTTTGTATTGATTCTACTTTTGGTAGCGGGTGTATCCGTACCATGCCTGATATCATGTGTGTATTTCTTGATCTTTTTACTATTTGGTACGATGTGGTCTCTGCATAAGACGTTACATTCGCATTACTGGACAACTTTGTTTCGAGTCAGACTGTTCCTCATGATATATTCTGGTTCGCATCTCTTGGTGTTGTATTTTTATCAGTTTCAATTCTTCCAGTCGGCGTTACCTGTCAAATCTTTACCAGCAAGGTGAGTCGATCATTTTGATTGACATTCATTGTAGTGATGTTTCTTGTGGTCAGATCTAACGAGAATCAGAGTGCATGAGACGCGACCTTGGTAAAGGTGGGGTTACATGAGCAACAAAATTGCTGCAGCAATTTAAAAGCATGCATTTAAAATTTTTAGCATGCATTTAAAATCTGAATTAGTATTGGTAACTTTCATAAACATCCCTGCTTCTGAAGTAATATTTCAAATCCGACTATGAGGACTGGACTAGATTTCAAGTCCGCGTAGTTTGATCACGTGCTGGGCGGGGCGAAGCCGAGGACTGGATCAAAATGCGAGGACTTGGAATGAAGTCCAGGCCGAATTGGAGGATTTGAAATGACATCTCATACGAATAAATCACTACTTAAAATGAGGTGAATTAATTTTGATCCAGTCCTAGGATTGTGGATCAATTATACTTCACCAGATATCCAGTATTAACATGTGAGCAAAATAAAACAATAATTGGCTAATGAGATTGATTATTGCCCCGTTTACTTGAGATGGTAAAAACTTTCAAGTTTCCAAAAGCTATTCATTCTGAAACCTGAAAATACAAGTTAGAACCTCTGGTACGTAAAGTGCGCGAATTACTGTACAGTATAGCTTGACCCTCTCTTAATTAACCAGTGAACTAAAAAAAAAAAACATAAGCTTTAAAAACTATATTTTCCGAATTGTTTTGAATTAGTTTTATTGAGTGATCTCGGTGGCGAGCGACTCGTTGATTTCTCCTTCCTCCCCCTCTAGACTTCTGGGTTTGATCGGGTTTGTAGAAACAAAGTGTGATAATCCTCAAGCTCTGTATTACCGAAGTGAAGATCTTGACTGGCCACATTTTGTGTTCGTTGCTGTCGTGGTGACTCTTTATTGGTTTCTTGCAACGGAGATCAGATATGACAACAATGATCAGGTGTGAAATTCATCGCTCTATCAGGCCCCAGTTACACGATACCGGGTTCTCATCGGAGTGACATCAAATGTTACAGTTTCAAGGGGAATTTCGCGCTCAATATTATGATAATATAACAGAATTAGTCAAAAACTTTAAATATGAAAAGTTGTAAGAGGCCAGAAAGCGTTTTAGTTTATGTCGCTCGACTCGTTCCGATGCGAATCCGATATCGTGTAACTGGGGCCTTAGACATCAGGCAGTTTAGTCTTGAGAGTAACGGCTCTCCTTTTTAATAAGCTCAGCAATATTAATATTGCTGCCCGAGTTAGCTGTGTAATGGTGCAAATTTAGAAGATGTTTTATGAACTATCAATTAGTACCAGACAATTTGACATCTAAAACTTGGACTTTTTTGTCATAGTAGCCTTTCACGGATATTGTTAAACTTTTTGTGAAGAGTATGTAAGAAATCAGTCATGCATGTGAAAATTATGCGTGAAAGGCTAGTGGCAAAAAATTGCATGCTTACTGTACGCGTATAGCATGACCAGTTCCCATGGCTGGCTTCGCCATTGAGAAATGCATTTTTAGCACATGTTAATTCCACAAGAAATAATGCATCTCTGCTGAAACTTCGATAACAGTCAATATAAAGCAAATGCGGCTGTTATTACAGTAACAATCGCGCGCAGGCTTACCCATAATGCTTCGTATCTCCTAAGTATAGTAAGTATATCCCAATAGCTTATAGTAGCCTATACACAGTGAGTACGTAGAAATCTCGCAACTTGTCAACAAGATGTGTTCGCAACAGGCTTGTAGCAAGCTTGTCAACAAGTTTTAACAATGTTGTTATTTCATCAAGTTGCTACAAGGTTATCACTCTCAACTTGTTGACAAATTGTTGAACTCGGACAGGACGATAACGAGTTGTTGGAACAACTTGTAACAAGCCTGTTAAGCTCAACAACCTTGTAGCAAGTTGTCAACAAGCCGTTGACAACTTGTGAACAAGCTGGGAACAAGCAGTGCGAACACATCCTGTTGACAAGTTGTTGGAACAGCATTGCCACAAATCTGCTGCAGGTTTGTTACAACTTGTGCGTTTTTACGCGTGTAGTAAATATACACTGAAGGTGTAAATAGTCTTGAAACGTTTTAATTTAGCATGGCAATGAAAGCAGACGGACCGATATCAATTTAGATGATGACCATACTGAAGAATTAGGCGAAAACAGCCAGACCGCAGGAGCTGGGGAGGAAGACCGTCCAACTCTGACGTTAAAAGAAACGATATCTAGTATTTTATCATTCTTGATGGCGCAAAGTTATATCGCATCTCTCATTATTATGATGGTAGGTACAACTAAATCTACCTCTCCGACGATCTAGAAAGGTTGCAGAAGCGAGCCCTGCGAATAATTTCCCCATCCACCAACTATGTTGAGGCATTGGAAGTCTGTGGCTTATCTTCATTGCATGATCGCAGGGAATATCTAACAACCAAACTGTTTCATGAAATTTACCGTGATCTAAACCACAAACTACAACGTCTTCTTCCTGATCTTAATTAATGAATCTAAGGGGGAAGTGTGCACATCCCCTGAGATCGTTTTGCACCTCCCCTGAGAATTTTTGCACCTCCCCTTAAAAGTCATGCACTTCCCCTTAGGAAAGTTTTAATGATAGATCAAAGTGAAAATTTGACATTTTTTGGTTGCTTAGGGTCTACACTTCGTAAGAAAGTTTTTTTCTGTAAAATTGAAACAATGATAGCCATTCATCCCTGTGTCAAGTACCCTGTTGATGCAATGTTTTGAAAGAAACTTTGTAGCAATTGTAATGAAAGGCAAAATTGGATGAGTTGTACAGTCATAATTCATTAATACACTGATACATATGTGCACGACATAAATATACGTCACGTCGTTGACTTTGTCCCCAACTTTCTTTCCACGAGCGTTATTAACTAGATCGCTGCACCTCCCCTAAATTTTTTCCACCTCCCCCACTATTTCCACCAAAATCTTGTCTTGTATTGTATATTGAGTTTCTTTCAGGACAAGTTTCTTAGAAGTGCATGTTGTTGACCATACAATCGCATAACTTGAACCTTATCGCATGGGCACTCTAGATTGCTTATATCGGCCACAGACCCGTTAAACACTTTAGGCTGGACCACTCTTGAACAACGCAGATTGTATCATGGATGCTTATTTGTTTTTAAGTGTCTAAATATTCATACCTCACATGGATTTGAACTTCTAGCGAACAGAGAAATATACAACTATACAATACGCGATATATAAGGACAATTTAAGGCCACCGAAAGTGTCAAGGAATTGGGGAAAGCAAAGACTCGCTTATCAGCCATGACAGACTGGAAGAACTTAGACAGAAATATAAAACTCTCTACTAGTATTTCTACATTTAAGAAAAACTTTTTTAGCAATCTTTGAACTTTCCCTCGTATAAGTTTTTAACATTTTCATAGTTATGTAGTATATGCATGTCTTCCTTGTAAATTTGTTCATTTAGTTCAGGACCTTTCTGAAAATCACTTTGCGAGAAAGCTTCCTGAAAATAAATATTAATTTAAAAAAATGTCTTTATTTGTTAGGCATGGAGCATAATTTACCATTCGTGGCTGACTTTTGTTCTTCTACTTTGGGCATGCCTCATCTGGATAACGCCGTTTGCTCGGTCGTTCTGTATGATCACGTCGCCATATTTGGTGATATATGCAGAGGTCTTACTACTCATTCAGTTCATTTATGGTTTGGAGTTGAACGATGATGAGTTGCCGATGAAGAGCGCTTCTGGAGAGCTGGACTATGAAGAATTAGGTTTCAAGAAATGGAGATATCCCTGTTTACATTTGGCTATACAGGTAAAGTGAATACATACAGTATACATGTATACTGTCATTTGATATCTCATATCAAGCAATTATCTGCTACACGCGAGACTTCAAATAAATATTTTGTGAATATAATTTCAGCAGAACAGCTTACAGTAATACGAAAATTAAATTAGTTGAACAGATGATGATCGTTAGGTTAAATGAAAACTGATGAAATTGGAATTAAAGTATAAAACTTTGTAGCGCTTTTCCGTGCTATATAAAAGAGATGAATGCATTATGGTTTGTGCTTACATACATGTATAAATATGGGTTTGACGTGGGATGAAGCGTTTTTGTGTGGCTAGAAAACTTCAGTGGCTCTATTTTTTCTTTAGACTGTATTTACGTGGGTATTCTGGGTGACACTTCACCAACACGTTAAAGAAAAGCAAAGTAGAAGCGATGGAGAACAATTCGAATTACGTCCAATCGTTATCGCTTTGACACAAATGTGTAAGTGTCATTTCATAACCGACGTTTAGTGCTTAAATGTATGGCAAACTGGATTTCTCTACTTCTTTTGTCTCAAAATGTACAGTACGTAGCTACACCAATATGTGCCAATATCAACTTCGATTCCTGTGGAAGGGCAGATGGTTGCATCACCAATACCTATTTTATATACTTTAATTCGTGGCCTTTTAATCATTTTTAGTTTCCCGCAATCCCGGTCAAAGGAACACAGGAACCGAAGGTACAGTGTCAATTTCCCGTTTGGAAGTACAGTAGTTGTTGTGATGCACAAGGCATATTTTCATGAATTTACAATGCTAGTCCATAACTAGGGGAAAGTTTTATACTGACCATAGACAGATCGACTATTTCATTAACTATTGCTTTTCATTGTTCACAACCTTTTATCATATGATCGCCAAGTTGTTCCGTTGAAATTGTCTTCCGGCTGAATTTGATCGATGCCAGTCTTTGCAGGTCTTCCCTTTCCCAGCGATGGTTCTCAGAGTGGCGTATTACGTTTTAAGCCAGTCTGCACTATATGATCGATTACACGCAAAAACGCACAAGTTGTAACAAACCTGCAGCAGACTTGCAGCAATGCTGTTCCAACAACTTGTCAACAGGATGTGTTCGCACTGCTTGTTCCTAGCTTATTGACAAATTGTCAACGGCTTGTTGACAACTTGCTACAAGGTTGTTGAGCTCAACAGACTTGTTACAAGTTGTTCCAACAACTTGTTATCGTCCTGCAATTCAACAATTTGAATTGAAGGACGATAACACGACTGATTATTTACTTAATATTTTCCCCAGGCAATGAAACATCACACAGCATCTCGGCAACAGGCGATACCACGGTTGATGTGATATTAATGAGATGGATAAAGTCCGTGCTCAGCAAGTACTGGATCCTAGTTTGTTGTGGTGCATTCCTATTGGTTGGTCTTCAAAATGACGTGTCAATGTACCAGATTGGTTATATGGCGATATTTTTATTTCTGTTTGTGTGTTATCAGGTATGTCTGTTGGCAAGTTGGCGTATTTCTTTTCTTCGATTTGTCTGTCTGTTTAGATAGCTATAGCACTATATTGTAAGCTCCGATGATGTTTTAAAGGAATTAATTAAAACTTGCAGCCCTTAAAACAACGATATAAAATCAACAAGACGATTTTGCCATCATATTTAACAAACATGTTTAAAATTAAAACTAATGATAGGCAGGACCGCCGAGAGAATTTGCGGGGCCTGGGGCAAATCTTCTTTGGGGGCTCCATGACATGATTATTTTTAAGCTAGACCCAAGTCAGTCATTCAACTAGACCTTAGCTAGACTGCATGTGGAGCTACTGTAAGGGGCCCTTAATTTTAAAAATGCTCTGACCCATTTAAAAAACTTACTCAATTTTAGGCTCTCGTTATCAAGTTGGGGCCCTATTAAGGTGGGGCCCCGGGCAATTTGCCCCGCCCCCTCTCGGCGGCCCTGATGATAGGTATGTCTTGTGAAGTACTAGCAACAATTATGTATACTTGCCGGAAACAAGCGTTATGAAAAAGAGTTTTACTTACAGTAGCTGCGTCGCTTTTGAATGGCTTATGAAGTACGGCCAAAGAAAAAGGAATAAGCCTTAACAAATTTAATGTTTTCTTGGCGGCAACTGATTCAATATCACCCTTGTAAATATGGTTTTAAATTTAATTATATTTAGTGCATGCAAATTGATATATATTAGTAAATAATTGTAATATTGTAAATTAATTACTAGTTATAGTGTCATCATTATTAGTGTGCAACAAACGGTCCCTTGAAAATCAGGTACCTATGCACCCTGAAGGGTTATCGTTTTAAAATATTTTTGAAATAATAATAACAAAAATAATAATTGTAGACTTGTAGTATGTAAGTTATTACGCCAGATTACAGTACATTGCGAAAGCAAATTGGAAAGAGTAATTACATACAAGGCCGGATTTTGGTGGAAATGCTGGGGCAGGTGGAAATATATTTAGGGGAGTCTAGCCCACGGCCCCCATGGAATGTTAGGACTTAGAATGTAGCCCCCTATTAAAGTCAACTATATGACGCATGCATGTACTGTACATGTGTATCAGTGTATTTATGAATTATGACTGTACGACCTATCCAATATATGCTCTTTATTACCGATTACTACAAACGCATAAAAAAATTCACTTTAATCTATCATTTAAACTTTCCCAAGGGGAGGTGCATGACTTTTCAGGGCAGGTGCAAAAAATCTCTGGAGGTGCAAAACGATCTCAGGGGAGGTGCCCCCACACCTCCCCTCACAATCCGGCCTTGATTACATATACGTATATTTCTCCTGTATTTAATATTATCTGATTACTTTTCCATTATTTAGGTTTCGTTTTCATTTTGGCGTGTAATCTTACGTCCAGTATGGTGGGCGATGGTTATTTACTCTGTGTGTATTTTGTTGGTGATATATACATACCAGTTCGAAAATATGCCGATGTATTGGAGAAATACGACGCATCTCTCTGATGAATGGTTAGTATTGTCTTCATACCATCGAAAACAGCCAGTTTTGCGTATTTTATAAACTGTCCAATAATTAAGAGTTATTCGAACTGTAGTCGTATATGAGCGGATAGCTGACGAGGTGTGTAGCACCGAGTGGGCTATTAGTGTAGTGAGTAGAATAAGGCCCTATTATCATCTAAACTTCATTCATCTGCTGGTCCCGATGAAATTCCTTCTTGGCTTCTCCGGGAAAACGCTTCAGTGTTGTGTCGACCTTTGTGTTCTATTTTTAATTCATCAGTTCGTGAAGGATTTGTTCCCTCAATATGGAAGGCAGCAAATGTTACACCAGTTCAAAAATCTTCGCCTCCTAAAGATGTTGATTCTGACTTTAGACCAATTTCCCTCACACCAATTATCAGCAAGATTCTTGAATCCTTTCCCTACAAATGGCTACTTGACTCCGTCTCAAAAAATTGATTCCTTGCAATTTGGTTCGCTGAAGGGTTCAAGCACTAGTATGGCATTAATCTACATGCTACATAAATGGTTTGAAGCAGCTGACAAACAAGGTAACACTATACGGATTTGTTTACTTGATTTTTCCAAGGCGTTTGATAGATTAGATCATAACATTCTGTTGGAAAAATTGAAAGACATGGAAATTCATCCCGTATTACTCAACTGGATCGCAAACTTCCTAACAGGCAGACAACAAAGAACCCGTGTTGGTCAGTTCTTTTCTGAGTGGAAGTTTTTAAACGCCGGCGTCCCACAAGGAACGAAGCTTGGCCCGCTATTATTTTTGATCATGATAAATGACGTGGCTGTAGTGGATGAAACTGTTAAATTTGTCGATGATACTAGCCTTTGGGAAATAATATCAAACAATTCCCCTTCCCAGTTACCCGCTAACATCATCAGCTGCTCTGAATGGTCATCAGACAATAATATGAAGTTAAACGTATCAAAGACCAAAGAATTGCGTGTCTGCTTTTCTAAACTTACTCCATCGTTTGCCCCCATTACCATTCGCGGTCAAGAGGTCGACGTCGTTTCCGAGGCCAAACTATTGGGCGTTGTCCTTTCGGACGACCTCAAATGGAACTGCCATATTGACTACATTTGCAAGAAAGCCGCGAAGCGTTTGTACGGTCTGCGCCTTCTTAAAAGAAATGCTTTACCTACTCATATTCTGATCTCAACCTATTGTACACATATTCGACCAATTGTCGAATATGCTTGTCAGGTGTGGCATTATGGCCTTCCTCATTACCTGAGTGATCAAGTTGAAAAAATACAAAAAAGGGCATTAAAAATTATTTTCCCTGGAACTATTTATGCTGAATGTTTGCTTAAAGCTAACTTGATGACTCTTTACGAACGTAGAACTGTCCATTGCAAGCGACTTTTTTCGAAGATGTTGGAACCCACTCATAAACTGAATGCCTTAGTACCGCCTAAAAGTCTTCAAACTTATAATCTGAGGTCTTATCCCAACTTATTAGTACCTAGGTGTAGAACTGAACGTTTTTCGAACAGTTTCATTCCTGCTGCGTCTCGTGCTTATAATAATAAGTAAACTTTAGATTACTAACGTTATTTTTATTTAACTTACCTATTTTTACCTGTAAATATAGAATAGATTAAATACCTATGTTCTTATACCCTGTAATTCCAAAGTAATTCAGTTGTTACTGCTAGTTTGGAAATTTTTTTAATAATAATAATAATAATAATAATAATAACTCTTTTATTATTTTGACAACCGCTGCATTCACAGACTCATCTGTATGGCAATATGTTGACATGTAATTTTAGCAATCCATCGAAAACTTGCCCTAAACCTGATAAGCCACTGCTGCTATTTCTTCAAATAATATATACTTCAAACATTGCGCTGAAAACTTATATATTTGCAATGCGTATAACCTTTCCATCGCGATGAAACATGTATAATGAAGCGCTATCTACCGCAGGTCTACAACTAGTTCTTATATGCAAGAAGACAATATTTAATCGATAAACTCTTCCAAGATATTGTGACTAATGATATAGTCTTAGACTTCACAGCTCCATGTAATACCAATGCACGAAACTTAAGAAAAGCTTTTGGCTGCAAAGTTTTATATAATTAAACTATCTAGTACGGTCTCACAGATCTTGACACATCACAATATGTTTAAACTACAGTAGGCAGGACACGCATGGCACCTCTGGCCTTTTAACTGGTTTTTCTACGACTTCTCTCTTCTGTGCTTCTAGTTTTTCATTCACTTTCAATTTTTCTATTCTATATTTTTCTTGCCTTTCTATACAATCTCATCTAGTGGTGTGCACCAAACATGCATGGGACCTAGTCTCGTTTGTGTTTCGCTACGTTTAGCAGCTTCTGTAGTTACTATTCTCCATACTCTTGTTCAATGTAATTATCCATGTAAGTTATGTACAGTATTATCAACTGAAGTTATCAACGTGCCAAATTAAGGGGCTGTTTACATGGTTAACCGGACTGAAACTTCATCAAGCCAAAAGTGGCGGGGGAAAGTTGTTTACTTATTAATACTGTAAGGTTTGTCACGCAAGTCAAATGCACGTTTTATAGAGCTAATTTTCAAAACTATCTAATCGACAAGAAAAATACTAATAGTTAAAAAAAAATACTAATTCAAATCGATATTGTAGCTTGTACAGAGGTTCTTTCGCTAGCCCGGTTATACCCGGGCTGGTAACTTTACGTTGGAAAATTTCAGCCCGGTTAGCTGGGCGTCCCGTTTGACTCAGGTGAGATCTCGGCTAGGCGGGCTGGCCCAGTTCACATGTAAACTAAAACTGTTTTGTTAAGGGATTTGTATGAAGCCGCGGGCGCCTCGGTTAACCGGGCTAGTCCGGCTAGCCGGGCTCATGTAAACAGCCCCTAAAGCTGCTAAAATAAATATCTATCTATCTTTATTTACTTGACGGCGTGTATTTTCTTCCTACAGGTTATATGACCTGGGTCTTCGTCAGCACACAAAAGCCAGTCTACTTTTGGAACTTCTGACACCAACGACATTTTCCGTGATCATTGTCATTCAACTCCATTTCTTCTATCGACCATTCATGGCTATGATTGACCTTCGACCTCCACGTCAGGCGGTCAGAGTGTCACGTGACGAAGAGAGAAGAGTGTCGCTCAGCATTGCAGCCAATCACGAAGAAGAGGAGGTCACCTCGGCCAATCAGGAGGAAGAGAACATCATCCCGGCCAATCAGAGACAAGGGAAAGGCATTTTGTCCAATCAGGATGCAGGATACGGAAGGGATGAGAACGATTCCCCTTCGGAACCGCAAACGTGGGTGTTAAAATGGTACAACTACATGACTGTGAAGTTATGGAGATTGGGCGAACTTCACATGTCGAAAATTATCAGTTTTACTTTGATTTGCGTTGTTCTGTCGAAGGTAAGGATTTTAAATTATGGTAAAGTCATTCCACGAGCCTTTGGACTATAAAGATTTCACTTGAGTCTGACAAATGTCCAGTCAAATTTGCAGTTTCGACAATGGCCAATACTGGTCGGTCAGCTTTTCAATATTTGTTAAATGCCGGTAGTATAGATAATCACACGGGAGTGCATTTAATGATTGTATGTTTCAAAATCACTATGAGTGATTTTGAAAAATATGCCAAAATTGCACGAGCGGCCGAAGCGAGTGCAATTTGGCATATTTTTCAAAAATCACGAGTTTCTCGATATCATACTCAACCTCATTCAATAATTGTGTATTATTGATGTTGAAATTTGGAAATTTAATGACACATTACGTTTCATAACTTTTTTACATTTCCTCACAAATTTCGTCTCAAAAAATTTTCTCCGTTCTTAGGTGTGTGCGATAAATGCCGTGATTATTGTATTGCTGGGCATAGCAATGCCTTCAGGTGTGATCCAGAGAGCTCTATCGTATTGTTTCCTTATATGGAGCTCCTTGGTTATCCTCGCAAAAATGTGTTATCAATTACAGTTCGTGCAAGAAGATGTCTTTCAACATAATTGTTCCAATACGGTAAGATAATAATAATAATAATAATAATAATAATAATGATATTTATATAGCGCCTATACATTGCTGTCCTAAGCGCTTTATAATATCATATTACATTTACAAAATTATTATCTATATTTACAGTCGATTTTGTTATAAAATAAATGTTAAAAAACAACTAATGAGTTACAAAGAATGATAATTAAAACCTAAAAGTAATTACAAATCGTAAGTTTGTTTAAAAAGATGTGTTTTCAATTCAGATTTAAATATGTTGATGTTACTAATCGATCTAATGTTCATTGCATGGGAGCATGTTCCAAATTCTCGGTGCTGCAACTGAAAAGGCCCTGTAGGCATATGTCTTTAAATTATAATGTTGTTCTGCAAAACGCCATTTGTCTGAGGACGATCGAAGACACCTTGCCGGCTGATGGTGACATAAAAGATCTTGCAAATATGTCGGAGCCATGTTGTTCATTATTTTAAAGCACATCAAATTGATCTTAAAAATGATGATATATGATTGTTTTTAGATATATGATTGTTTTTGCCACACATATAATTTACTGGCCCGGTTACCTGCATGTGTTTCACAACTTTTTGCTTGAAACTGTCGCATGCAACCTGCTTACAACTTAAATGGTACTGTGTATCAAACACACACATCGAGCACCTACGAAAACGAATCCTGGAAAGGGTACATCTTTTTAGGAAGATCACCCTCCACTACGAATGTAAATTATGTGAAGAGTCGCCGACTTTTCTTAGGGCACGTACTGACATTTAAAGGGACGCGCACTCCTCTGAACCTCGTGGAAAATCTACCAATGAATTCGCCCCCTAGTTGGCATATACCAAACATTCATATGGTCTAAAAAAATACCTGTGGTTCCGGTTTCATATCGTGAAAAAATTAGGGTCGGTAGGTCGGAAATAGATTTTTTTTAACTATGTTTTTCATGGTTTGGGCGCGTTTTTTGCTGGGCGATTTGCAGTAGAGTTTTTTGCTGGGCGATTTGCAATATTAATTAGAGATGCGTATTTCCTATGGACGAATTTAGGCAATTTGGTTCAATAATTAGTGTGACAACAGACGCCATTTTGGCATCGCTGTATGAACAGCCCGCAACCACCCGGAGAAAATAGGGTCGCACGGTCAATCGCGTTGAAAAAATAAAAGAGTTGGCAGAAAAAAATAGGGTCGGTCGGGAACCGGAACCACAGGTATTTTTTTTAGGCCTATTCCCAAAAATATTAATGACGTAGAAAGGCCACGAATTCGCCCATTCCATGCACCCTCGTTCGCATGATTATAATCAACAGAACAAAAAGGTTAGGGAACTCGATGCAGACATAATAAATCTTGTCTTGGTTTATGCAAGAAATGGTCGGTTCATCGCCACGTGTGTATTGTTTTTTGGCCCAACCAATAGCAGTGTGTTAATTTAATTACCTAGCCGTGATATTACACATGAAAATGTTAAATGAAAATGTAGCAATTGGTTGCGCTAACGAAAGTAAAATCCACACCTGCATGAAATGAGATCTATTATTACGTCTGCATCGAGTTCCCTAACCTTCTTAGTACAAAAATTACATAGTTAGACATTAGGTTGCATTAACCCATTGAGTCGCATTGCACCCTTATGCACCCTACTTTGGTATTTTACTCTGTCTAACGCCATACGATTTTACTCGTCAAGGGGAGAGCGCTGGCGCTTAATGGATTAACTGGCCTATCTGCCCATGTGTCTAGTTAACCCATTGAGTCGCATTGCACCCTGATGCACCCTACTTTAGTATTTTACTCTGTCTAACGCCAGACGATTTTACTTGTCAAGGGGAAAGCGCTGGCGCTTAATGGGTTAAATAACGCAGAGAGACGGCATGTAGTAAAACACTGACTACCGGAACACCGGAACACCACCTAACCCTAAGCCTAACCCCAACCCTAACCAATCCTAACCCTAACCCCAACCCTAACCCCCAATCCTAACCCTAATCCCAAACCCTAACCCCAAACAAAATGGTGGTGTTCCGGTGTTCCGGTGGTGTTCCGGTGGTGTTCCGGTGGTGTTCCGGTGGTGTTCCGGTGGTGTTCCGGTGGTGTTCCGGTGGTGTTCCGGTGTTCCGGTGGTCTGTGTTTTACTACATGCCCAGAGAGACGACGTCTATCTTGTCGTGGCTTTCATTTCATCTCTGTTTTAGGTGATCCGTCGTTCTAACGTTGTCAATCATTTTACTAACAATGCTTTATGGGTCGGCTTTTATAAAACTAAAAATATTTCTGCAGATATACAGGTGAGATGCATGTATATATTACGTTGTATTTGAGCTCCGTGGTGAGGTGTTGTGGAAGGCACATTGATCAGTGTACGTTCGTATTAAGCTCTGAATGAGAGTTGATGAGAGTTGAGAAGCGAGAGTTTGCATGAGAGGTTTCTCCACTCTCATGCCCCAGTCAAACGAGAACAATAGTTTACGATTCAAAGATTTATTTGTGCCAACAATAGTATACATAATTTGAAAGTGTATAGATAGGCTACCTAATTAAGCAAATAATCGAAGCACAAGCTATTTAGAATAGCTAAGCTAATTTAGCCAAATAGCCCAACATATTATTGGATTAAGATATAAATAGAGGGATGGGCAGATGGTTTTACTAAATGTTAGATACAGTAATGACTGGCACAAAAAGCAAGACACACAGAAAAATCCATAGAGTATTTAAAAATATCATATATAATAATACAAATCGTTAGAAAAAATGATAAAAATTCAAACATATTTGAGCAAAATTTTTGGTGTAAAAAAATTAGTGTCCGCCATCTTGCTGGCCCCAGAGTTGCATCATTAATTCTCATTAAATTTTGAATCAGGTCAAAGTCAATGAAAGTTCATGAGAATCCACGAGAGCATATCTCATCAACTCTCCTGTATTCTCGTTTGAGCGGAGCTTTACGAGTTGATATCAGTTTTATCACTTTCAAGACGATATCATAAATGTCTTTCGCATATCTTTCCTCAAGCGATAAACTGATATCGCCTCGCCCCTTATATTATAACCCATATAGTTTAGATTGTGATATATATATATATATATATATATACACTGGATCCAGAAAAGTTTGACCTTCGAATATATATATATGTCGGCCATTTTGAATTTTCTTGGGTTAATTATACGCGAACGCATGCATCAAATGTCGCTCGCAACGTACTGTATATTGCAATATTCCA